CCCTGCGGGTCCCGGGGGGCTGCTGCCGGCACAGATGACGACATTTGGGTGTTCTTTTGTTCATTCTGGCCAAAAAAAAAGCGCCCCCAAACCTCGCCGACTCCTCCGTACCACAAGTTTAAAGCAGGGCTCCCGGGGTAAGAGCCCGCGGGGGTGCTGGGTTTCCCGTGGGGGCGTTTTAGCGTCCTCCTGCGCTGCGGCCAGCCTCCAAGGCTGCTTTCGTGGGAGGGGACCCGGGAAGTTTCAGGTGGGGACTTGGATGTCCAGGTCACTCTCACAGGTCCCTTCCTCTCACTCCAGAAGAAATTTTCAGAATTAAAACACCCCGAGGAGGAGGGGGAAGTTGCAAATACTTGTTGACGGATACCTCCACAGTAAAAGCAGGTGCAAAATTAAGCATTTAGAGGAGAAGAAATGCATTGTCAGAAGAATAAAAAAGGGCAATTGAAAGAGCCTGTACGTCAGAGGTTAGTGGTGAGACTGAAAGACTACCCGTTCACAAAATACAGGTCTGAGTACAGTGTCTTACGTCAGAGTTTTAAACTGGAAGGCAGTGAAGATGCAGTCATTTAGTAAATGTGATGTGATGGGTGCTGTGGAATGAGCTTGACAAATCCCCTCTGGTATGCAGACAGGGTGGCATAGTGACCTTGTTTTAGATAACATCGTTAATGAGAATCTTGGCTAAGCTCAAAACAGTTTGAAGAATATACTTTATTATAAAAATGTGCAACTATCCATAAAACTTTATTAGGCAGTATTTTATATTACAGTCGTTGGAGGAGTCAAAGTCGGGTCTTTGCTGTTCTTCTGTCCTTGTTCATGTCTTAACAGAACTAGGTAATCATACTTTACAACTAAATTACACTGGTGGAATAACAGTAACTTCCATAGGATACATTAGTAAATTGTTATTTTCATGAACGTTATATCAAAAGCAAGAGTAATGCTTGCACACCCAAGTAGTTTTGGTAGTCAGAAAGGAAAACTTGGAAGTTTTGTTCCATTGTGGAAATCCAAAGGCAATACGGTCAACGTGAGAATTTGTTATTCGGAATATTAAACATTAAAAGGAATGGTTGGATAAAAACGTTTTCCTATGATTGTAAATGCACCACTTTGAATAAGCAAAATACACTGTAGCAATAATTTATAAGTAAAAGCACACTCAAAGAGCTTTGTGGAGAGCATACAGTCTGTGCGGCTAGTCTGGCGCTGACAAACAGCCCAGGCCATTGCTTATGAAATCTCACCCACCGAAAGCTTCCCTTGCACTCACTGCTGCCTGCCCATGAAGCTCCCTGAAGCCTTCTTTCAGAGGCGTAAAGGAAAAATGATCAAATTTATGCTTTTAATAGACCAAGTATTTTGGTGTTCTGTAACGATGAAAGAAATTATGAGCGTCTTAACAGCTGTGTGAAACCTGCTTCTGAGGGAATTACGCAGAACTCAGGAAATTTAGAGTAAGGGGTGATTTAATGTAAAGCTTTTGAGAAGAAAAAAAGGTAGTGTGAGTCAATGACTGATAGTCAGCCTTTGAATCACCTGAATTGTGTCCCTGTTTTAAATCGGAAGGATGGATTTCCACAGAGTGAGTGTATGGATAAAGGAAGGGACAAAATCTGGCTTTTGGTAGAATGTTAGTCATATGCAGACTATGTTTATGTCACCTTTTTTTCCAGCTGATTTTGGCACCATTATTGCTTTGTTCTTTCATCCCACAAACGTCACTTCTACTGCTGGCAGAAATATTCAGGACCTATGTGAATGGGGCTCATGTTTTGTCACTGCAAACGTACTCGGGGTATTGGTGAACAGGACTGGACCTTTGTCACTGCAGCCACGTCCCAGGATGTGCTACAGTGCTACTCTTGGGACTCTCCAAAAATAACAGCATTATGGGCTGAGAAAAAACCTATTTTGAAGTTGGTGACTACACATGGTTCAGATCAACTTGGCGCAGACATTGCAGCTGTCTGTCTGTGTGCAACCTTAATGTTTTGCTTTGTTGGATTTGATAAGGACTCAGGCTGTTGTTGGCTGGGTTAACACTGCCGGGAGCAGGCTCACAGACATTGTAGAAGTGTGAGCCTTACTCCTTGTGGTGTAGAGAGTCGCTGAAGTTAAGAGACTTTCTTGTATCAGCTTTGATTGCTTTTGCATTGGTGTTGCGGAATACTTATGCTAAATGGCTTTCGCAAGCACTTACTGCATACAGAAGCTGCCAGTTCCTGAGCAGGCTCACAGCGTGGTCAGTCCAGCAAGCTGCTCTCACCAAAAGAGCCCCCCACCTTTTTTAGATACTGGTTCCATGGGCAGATGCTCGTCGTGATCGAATTTGCTGCCTAGGGAAGCAAGTTTGGCATCAGGTGACAGCTTAAACCCTGGCTGTTTAAGGTAGAACGTAGCTCTCCTCTATTTGCTTGGTTTAGACCACAGCGTGGCAGACACTTTAGCATGCTTTTAATTTAAAACAGAGCTATTACTAGCTTAAGTCTGGTTGGTGTCCGCTCTCTGTTGTCCTGCGAATGGATTATGTGGACTCCACAGGTGCTCAAGCGAGTTGTGGACGGGCTGTGGACCTGGAAGCGCTATGGCCGCACTTCCACGGCACCGTGCCGCCTGGTCTCAGCTGGTTAACATGCAGCCCAGCCGCCTGTGTCACTGACCTGTCTTTTCTCCATCAGACCTTTAGCCTCCTTCATACCATATGTGCCTTCAGTCTAATTTAAATACTCTTGATACTGTCTGCAGGTTTTGTTTTATCCTGGGTATCCCAAACTACTTTCAGCTCAGTTATGTGAAAGTTGACTGTAAACAGGTAAGTTGAACACATGCATAATACTATATATTCAGTTTCTTTGAAACCTAAAGGTCAGGAGCGTACACAAGTGCTCTGCTTATTTGTGGCTATTTGGTGTTAGGCTCTATTTGACAGAAAAGATTAAACACCGGGCAAAAGTGACAAAAACATAACTCTCTGTAGTGCACTTGCTATATACATTCTCATGAAAAACTGAAATACAAGTTAAATACGTACTTAGTTTATTCCAGGCTATAGAATAAGTGTATTTAGGCAGTTTTTCAAAGTGTATTGTACACTGCATGCACAATAAATCAGTTTAATAGCTTGACTGTTTTACAATTTGCGTTCAAAGAACTGTATGATAGGCAATGAGATCATGTTACGGCATGACTTGTCCATTTGGACCACATCCATTTTTTCATTAAAAAATTGGGGAAACCCAAACTGGTAGATGAAATGTATATTAAACATTTTAATATGAACGTTTGCTCCAAGGAAGAAACTTCACGTTATGTTCAGTTTTTAAATCCCTCCAAATAGAGGATTTAAGACAAGACATTTTGAACGTGATTTCATTGCAGTATTACACTGAAGATTGGTGTAATATTTTTCAAAATGACGTAACAGTTTCCAAATACAGATTTTGGAAGCTTATGCTAGAAATCAAGATAATATTTTAGGGCCCGCACATTTAGCTTTAAAACTGTCCTCGAAAGGATGACTTGTCTATGTTGACAAGAACTTCTACCTGTGTGAAATATCTTATAAAGATAGCTTATGACTAGCAGGTCACCATCAAATAGTAACATTAAAAATATTCAAGTCTACATTTGTAAAGACTTATGCATGCAGTTTTGTCTCTTACACATTGTTTAGATGTGTGGACTAAATGTATTGTGCCTCAAACACCAACAAACTTGAAATTACACTATGTAAATATATACATATATGATGCTGCATATGTTTAGTACCACAGTAAATATAACTGTTATCAAGTGATACTAGACATATGTAGGACCACAGTTAAGAAAAAAAGCCAGAAAAATTCAGTTTTTCTAACAGTATTTCACAGTAGAAGGAGGCAGTCCTTTCTCACTGAATTTCCCCCCCTCAGGATTTGTAAACATCATAGCTATTATTCTACCAGTATAATAATTGAATATTTTATTCATAATGGTAAGTAGCTAACCAACATGAATAAAGTTGTCATAACACAATAACACTTTCAGACAAAACAGGTATTTATTAAAAGAAACATTTATAAATATTTTGTCTTGCATTTTAAACTACATTTTCATAAATAACAATATTTAAAAGTGCTGAATACGGTAGGATAGTCAGCAACGCCACTGTAAACAGATTTGTTTTCCACTTTGCAGATTTTTTTTTTAGATCCCATTTTGTCAAACACTACAACAGTTAAAATATTTGCATAGGGAATAGAGAATAGCCCTTTTAATCATCTCCTGAATTCTATATAAATTACAAAACCAAATGAGTTTAAGAAACAGTTCGTTAAATTTTTCGTATATATATATCCAAAAATCCTCTGTAAACAGATTTGTTTTCCACTTTGCAGATTTTTTTTTTAGATCCCATTTTGTCAAACACTACAACAGTTAAAATATTTGCATAGGGAATAGAGAATAGCCCTTTTAATCATCTCCTGAATTCTATATAAATTACAAAACCAAATGAGTTTAAGAAACAGTTCGTTAAATTTTTCGTATATATATATCCAAAAAAAGCACACAGGTTTCAAGTAAAAAGAATGATTAAAAAATTCCCCAGACTTGCTATTTGAAGCATGTTCAATAAATTAAAAAAATGAGAGGTAGTAAAACAAAGGAGAAAAATAAGCCCCAGAAGAGAAACTAAGAGCTGCATCCTGCCAGTTACTGTACAGCAGCAGACCCACCTCGGCAGCAGCGGCTCCAGCGAGAGCCAGCACCGGAGGCTGCCTGCAAGGAGTAACTGGGTGGTTGGAGCCAAGCGTGCTGGGGCTAGATGCCGCTCAAGGACGCAACTGCCAGACCTTCCAGTCCCATCGAAAGCAAAGGGGTTATGCCACGTTTAGTCCTATGTAAGCGAGAAGAACCTTGCCTCTTAAGTCTTAGTATAAGACCAGAGTTGTCAGTATTAAATACATATATATGTACATACATATACATATATTTAACAAGTATTCAAAGCCATTTCTTGGAATATCTTTAGCAGTTTGTGAGGGATGCTAACGCTCATTTTGCTTGTGTATGGTAGGTATGAAGATGGGGGTTTTTTAAGTTCCGAGTCACTGTCTCTTTAAACATCAAAATGCATCCTAAAATTGGACATTTTTTGATAAAAAGGCCAAGCAAACACCTATTAAAAACACCATGGCAGCCAAGCGATGGGAGTACCATGCTGCCTTAGCTCTGATTAAGGGCTCAGTACAGGATTCTTTACCCAGGAAAGACACCGGTTGCGTTTCCGTAGGCGTTTTGCTTGGGTAAGGACTGTAGGTTTAGGAGCCCTTGAAGTTTGGTTTAATATTACTCTCCAAACCCCTCGTTTTCAAGGAGTTCCTCAAAATCAATGACGCTAGAAGCTAACATAAGTCTTCTTTAACCCGCCACCTCGTAAAACATTACTTTGTTTAAAAACATTTTTTACTGGATTTAGCTTTCAAAAAAAAAAATCTTACAGGACAGATGCAATTCATCAAAATGTTCTAAAATGCTCTAAAATGCTACATGTAGGCAATCTTTTATTAAATTTCTTTATTAAAAAAACTAAATTATCAAGCTTTTTGTTTTTTTGATTTTGTTTTTGTTTTTTCTTTTTTTGCTGAAGTACATAACATTATACAACAGTGTTAGAACTGGATAGCCAGTCTTTAATAAATCAATTACAGTATCTGACATCTGAAATGTACATTGAAAATCTTTGTTCTTTTAACAATTAAACAATATCAGCGCATAGATTGTGTCACCCAGATATGGATCCCTTTAAGTGGTTTGTGCTTTTTTTTTCTTCTTTTTTTTTTTCTTTTTTTGACATTGCAAACTCTGTAATGAAAATGCCACAGTTTTGGCAGTCAACAACCAGAGGAATCCTCCGCTTGATTTATTTTAAATAAACAGTGATAAATAGCTCTTTTTTTCTGTACAGAAATATTGGCTTCAAAAAGTCAGTGTATTGTACTCAGTATAGAATGTTGAGTAATGCTACACCTTAAAAATTGGCTTTTCAGTTAGTGATGTTAAAAAATGCAAGCCTCTTTCTGGTTTGCTGCAATTGTTTCTATGTACCATAAGACTGTATTGCACAAAAAAAGTTCTTAAATACAGATATAATTTATGTTATTGGATTAAATATTGCAACAACTAAGTGGTAAGTGAAGCAGTTTTACCTTGCACATGCAGTGTGAGGATACACAAGGAGACTGTTCATAAAACTATGTTAAAAAATGCAAGCCTCTTTCTGGTTTGCTGCAATTGTTTCTATGTACCATAAGACTGTATTGCACAAAAAAAGTTCTTAAATACAGATATAATTTATGTTATTGGATTAAATATTGCAACAACTAAGTGGTAAGTGAAGCAGTTTTACCTTGCACATGCAGTGTGAGGATACACAAGGAGACTGTTCATAAAACTACAAATACATCATTGCAATCTTGACTGCAGTAGGGTGAAAGGAGTGTGAAACAAATGTATTTTGGCAAATCCATTGTTCCCCTCCCACGCCATCTCGAGCAAGGAGGACCTTGGTAAAAATGTAGACAGAGACCATAATATGTTTTTGTTTTCTTCACAGTAGCCTGAGTAGTGCTAAACTGTAGTTCTCCAGGAACCCAGCTCCAGATGTTATTAAACTACTTTTCTTCCATCCCACCCACCCACAAAAAATCAAGTTATTTTGTCTGAAAATTAAAACTAAGTTTCAGAAGTAGAGCCCGTAATACTTTCAACAAGAGACTTATAAATCTGAGAGTTCAAAAACCTTGGAAAAGAGTCTCTGTGCATTAGGGTGTATATCTGGAGTTGGGCATCTTCATACATGTGAGGGCTGGGATCCAACAAGTTTCTGTTGATCACTTCTCTCACCCGGGAATCAAGACTAACCTGAAGAAGATGAGAACAGACTAATATTAAACAGTAATATCGGAAAGGCTGTTATACGTATCTTTTTTTCTCAGGGCTCCATTGAGCACGCCGAGTTTGTCAGTTTATTCAAGTAATGCTCTGTGCTTCTTTCAGAGCCACCACACAATTACAGACTGAGACCATCGACTCTATTTCAGTTTTGACTTGGTCTTTGCATCCATCTTAAGATCTGTAAGATGAAATGCAGCTGTATAACAGAATAAATACAGTGCAACTAAATAAAGCTCTGCAGTAACCTGGATTTCCCAAAATATGTTATTTTACCTTAAAAAAAAAAATTACATATTTAAAATCATTTCTCTGAAATGAATGTTGAATGACTCTCATTCAGGGAGCTGAAATGTTTCTTTCCTGACCATTTGTGGTTAAATCTTCAGAAGCTTTCTGTTCAGCGTTCTCATCTGGCTGCCCTACGGGGTTTTTTTCCCTTTTTTTTTCAGGCACTACACTTGTTACTCACAAATTACCCAGAGTTTTTTATCGTTTTTATCGTGTTAATCTCCCCATTAATATTAACTATTTCAGATTTGTTCTTTTCAAGACTCTCTAACATCTGGTAGTTTATATTTTCAGGATATCATATGTCCATATTGAAGTTGTTAGCAAGTTTCAATTTTAGCTTCTCATTTACTTTCCATTTGTAATAAACTCCTGTGCCTAGGCAGAAAAGGACATATTATGCTTGGGATGAATGCACAGATGATTTTAGAATATCATTTAGAAATTTGAGTGAATGTACAGCTTATCCACAAAATGCTCTAAAACCAGTAAAATTAATGCCTTCCGGATGAAACGAAATGGCAGTAGCAGGAAAGCCCACTGGGGCCAGCAAGGGTTTACTCAGCTAAGAAGAAAAAGGCTAAAACACTGAGTAGAGAAATACCAAGCATGGATCAGTTAAGCTACTGTGATTTACACCAGGCTGCAATCTGACCCTACTACTCTGCAACCATATAAATAGATATTCGTATCGTCTGAAGGATTGAGTTCAACCCTGGAAAGCTCCACATACCAAGATACCTTGATATGTGAAGGACGCTAACTGAGATGGAAACTCAGAACATGTGTGGATGTGTGAGCTTGTGTATTTTTGTATGTGGTGAAGCAAATGCAGTGGTATGGTATGGTGCTGAGGAGTAAACACACATTTTCATTATATCTTCAGTACCAACTGTAGAAGCTGGCATTGTTGGCTTGTTGGCATATTGGAGTATGTTACTGCCACAGCAGGCAAGCTCTTTCTCCTCCAATATTTGCTGTTACTTGGTTATCGGTCACGAGGCACAACTATGATGCAGCCTAACTGTGAGTAAACTGTTGCCTATTCATGCTAGCAAACCGTACCTATTACTCAAGTACGCTATCTCTGCAGAACATCCATTACGCCTGCTTAATGCACACTCTCCACCTAAGTGCTCACTGCTACGCCCGCACGCAGCACCCCGGGGCGCAGCAGGCGTCCCTGCTGTACGCCTCCCTTACGGATGGGCAGCGGTGCTGCGTCGGCTGCCCCGCTGCCATGAACAGCCTCCCCACGTTCCCACCCTGCCGCTTCCCCTCCCTTGTGCTGGCACGGCTGTCTGGGCAGCCCCACAGCTAGCTGAGTTAAGGAATAGATCCATCTGAAAGTGGCATTTCTTTTCTGGGCTGTTTTTCAACCCAGGCATTTTTCTGATTGAATTCACTGCCTACCTAACGTAGCTGTGCAAGCAGACCGGACTGCACAGCAGGAATACAGACTGGTGGGGCTGCTCGGCCCGTGACTCCCGGCTTTTAGTCACAACAGCATGCAGGGGTGCAGTGTTATGGTAGTTTTGAGAAGCAGTGGTGCAGCCATGCGTCTTCGGAATTTATTTGAATAGATTTCAATCCTAGACCATTGCATTTCTGTAGCACTGAAATGACACACTAAGGTGTAAGCAATTCTCCCCGACACACATGCGCACGCACATATCTTAGCAAAAACAGTTTGTGCAGCTAGCTAACTGGTTCTTCATTATCAACTATAATAGCTGGGATAAAAAGCTCAAATTTGGCAGGATGGTGGGGCTTTGTGCCATTGAATATAGTAAAAGTTAATTGCACTTAAAGAATGGAAAAGATTTAATTATGGAACTATTAATTTACATTGTAGTTTTTCAGTGACTCACTAAAGCCAGATGGCAAAACTAGCTGGAATTACTAAAGGTATTTCCTTGCTAAACAGATGAATACAAGGTATCTGTTCTTAACAGATACCTTAACACTACGACCTTCTGCCTCAGTAACTTCATCCCTGAACAAGTGACGCTAAATATTTCAGCTCTTATGCCAAAAGATAACATCTGGAATGGGATGCCTGGATGAACAAGAACTTTTCAGCTCCTGTGCTGATCTAAAGTGTTGCAAACAGTTCTTGTTTGCCTCATAAGATTTCCAGTAGGGGCAGGAGCAACTGGATTGATGACATCCGCACATGTCCAGTGCATCAAGTTTGTGAGTAGTTTTGTTAAACCCTAAGTCAAACAGCACTTAGTGTTTGAATTTTAACTGCTGGTTGATCTTAGCTTAAAAAGACAACTGCACATTCAGCACATATATATGTACTAGAGATATTATATTAAAAGAAAAACTCATTATTAGCTTGCTGTACTGGCAGTTATCTCACTCCAAAGCAAAAGGATACGCTATGGCACAAGAGAAGATAATGGAGCTATAAATTGCTGTTGGCTTCATTCATATGAATGAAGTTGCAAATTACTACTGCATGCAGTGCAGAAGTAAAATGTAGGAAGCAAGGTCCACAGTGAGCATAAATTAGCATAACGCCATTGAGTAGAAAGTCAGATGCAATGCACAGAGACAAGGCAAAGGAGCTAAAGGTGCATGATGTGGCCTAAGACTTTTCTATAGTGCTTATATATACATATATCTCACTATTCCAAAACATGGTTTGATAGGGGATGCTTTTTCTTTACTCCAGGTGAAGATCATTTCAGAATTTGTCTAATTCAGTTTAAGGGTTAAAGAAAATCTTATATAATTTCCTAGATATTCTTATACCTTTCATTAGAGAAAATACATGGTCTCCATTCCTGGTCTCTCACACAGGAATATTCAGTGCAAATTTGGATTTTCTCCCAGACAGCTGTTGCAGCAGATAAATCTATAATGATTCTGATGTAAATTCCTTAATTTTGGTGCCTTTTCTCCACAAATCCATTTGCATTACTTATTTCCTGTCTCTGGCAGGCATGTAGCATTTCAAAAGAAGCATACCCATTTCTCAGCCTTCTCTTACTGGAGTTTCTTGAGTCTTATAGAGAGCTTTGAGGTGTTGTGGCCAGTGACGCTAAATGGCCCAGCTCCTGTGTCTCTACTTTTTCTGTCCCTTCCTTTCCTGATTTAATGTCCATACGAAGACTTTCATCTGACAGATCAGGCAGACTTTCAGACCCCGATCTGGCAATCCAGGGTATAACATTTCTGCTCTGGAGTAACAGAAAATGCAAATGTAACATTTACAGCTTTACCTCTTTTGGTGATAGTATAGAAATGTAATCTTCATATATAAGTCTTGCTTTTTCTTCAATAACTTTCTTGTTCTGTTCCTTCTTTAGATCTTCACATGCAAGCCAGAAAAGCAGGTTCTCCTCACTATACTCTGTTCGAAGAAACTCTCTGAAAAGGTTCCTCCCAGCTGGTGTTTTCATCATCTTGTCAAAATTCTGAGCCCAAGACAAAATTTCATCTGCAGTAGGGTTTTGGCTGCAAAAGCAAAGTATCATTACAAATATGCTTCTATTTTTGTAACAGTGTTTTCGTACAATCGCCCAAAAATTCTCCTTTCAACTGCACTTTTGTCCAGAGTGAAAACTGGAAGCAACAAGGCTTCAGCAGTGACAGCGGAATTTTGCTCACTCTTCACTTGTGCATTCATTATCTCAATAGCCCACTAAACATGTGTAATGTTACGAGACATGCACTTGGCTTTCTACAAGTTTTCTACTAGTGTTGTTAGCCATCAGACTCAAAGACAAAATCCCACAACAGCATTGAATTCCTGCCTCTGCAGTTAAAGGGGATGTGATTTCAGGGAGCTGGCAATAGACTCTCTTTCATGAGGGGTTTAGATGACACCTGATGTCCCTGCCTACTTCTGATGGTGTTTGGCCAGTCACTGGCTGCCACACAATTTGGTTCAGGAAGGACAAGAAAAACAAAAGGCTTGGCAGCCGAGAGCATACTAATGAGGCCCAACAAAATAGTAATTCAGAGAGCTTTTAAATTAGCATATTTCTCTGTGCTTGTACCTAAGGGTTGCTAAGCTTCCCTCTGTTTGGTGCTATTGACCTGAATGATGATCTATTGGCACAAGATGTGATGGATGTTGCTGGCAAAACTGGAGAGAGAAGAAGTGGGAAAAAGGCCTTATTCCTATTTTCTGAAGGAAACTATTTGTGGCTTGTAACAGTGGACACACTGGATAAGTGATCAGAAGACTAACTTGCGTCACTAATCCATTAATGTACCAATGAATAGCTTGAGAAGGTAATATTCCAAGTTACTTAACAACAATTAAATATAGTTTCAAACTTAATTCTGAGCGCTCACCCTCCCCTTCCTGATAGGATCCAACACAAGAGCTTTACTAGCTGTTGTTAATAGCTTCTGTGTAATCATGTTGCACAATAAGTGACATTTATCTACAAGATTTCTCTTCAAGTCCATTTATCAACTCCTACTCTGCATGCAAGGCAAACTGGATGATGGGAAGCTATTTGTGATAACTTTTCGGCAGTCCAAAAGATCTAATAAATGAGAAAGTGTTCAACATTTAAACTATCCAGCAAAATAATTGCAATCTGAACCAAAAAGTATAAACATACAGATTTGAAGGTAAGTCTTCTCTCTGAGGAGAGTGAAAAGAACCTGCTGAGGGATGGAGCTGACAAGCGACCTGTGCTCCCTCGTTGTCTATTGGGAAGCTTTCTTCACTACAGTATTTTGTGGAAATTTCTGACATTGTCCTCTCAGAAATGACCATGAGTAGCAATGACAACAATGAGTTGTTTGGGTTGCTTTTACCATCAATCATATCCTCCAGAGTTAAGTTTGAATTAACTTTTTATGGGATTAGAGAACTCAAGGCCACTGATAGGTTAGCATTTTTCCCAACACAACAAACATGGGCCCAAGCTTTAGACAGAAATAGAAGCTCAGACTTTCAGTGCGTGTTAGCCCGTTTTTCAAGGTATGTGTTTCCTTGGTTAATTCCAGTGAAACCATAGTCCAAGCTGGTTTATGAAATGTAGCCATGTTAAAAATCTGACTGTGAAGTACACTTGTGCCGTTAGTTTTACTTCTTGTCTGGATAAACAGAAGAAAATGATCGCACAGGTAGCAGAGGCTTCTTATAGAGACCCACAGGTCTATGGAACCATCCATGCACTTCCCATTCCTCCCCACAGTTCTTCCCCACAAATAGGAAACTCTAAGTAAGCCTGACTTATGAATGTCTCTGCTGGCATTTCATTGTCAGGACAGATTTTGCTTCCTTTTGTATAGAATTTTTTTGAGGAAAAGTAATTAAAATGACATTCCCGAAGCATAAAAACCAAGGCAATTCTTGGTATCAGTTATAGGCAAATTAAAAACATTTACTAGACAACAGTTTGACCAACTTACCTTTCTTCTATGACTTGGATACTCTCCATTTTGGTCGTATGTGTTGGCCTTCCTGCATTGTCTCCTCTATCTTCATTCCTAACAGTGAGGCTGCAATGTAGTACAACACTTTATTTTGTCTAGAGAAAGTTAATTTAAAACAATGACTATAGTAATGCAAACTTTTAAAAGTTATAAACCTATGTAAAGTGTCATTTTTCACTCCTGCCTCTAAAATTTTGGAGAGAAATTTTTGATAACGACTTTTCCCCTTAATTCTGATGAATATTAATTAACAGTTGCTATTAGCATGTGTAATTTTTTGCAAGCTCACAGTTTATCCACTGAAAGATGGGCACAAACTTAGAGGTCACTTTTGGAGTGATTTCACTTAGTAAATTGAGAATATTAGTAACAATAAGGGTAGGGGGGATAAGGATATCTGAATTGGACATCAGTGAGGCTTTGGTGCCCCACCAGTTCTGGATGGTTGTTCATTCTTTATGAACGTTCCCTTTTTTCTCTCCAGGATACGGTGGCAGTAGATGGCTCAGATACAGAACTTAGTGTGTGGCAGCTCCTTATGATTTCCTCCTCTGACCTAAATTTGTTTTTCATTCCAAAAAGTAAAACTTACTGGCCTCTCAACAGAAAGGCATCCATTACCGTCATAGTACCACAAGCAAGGAAAAGAAAGACTTCCTTTATGTAAGGATGTTTTTAATTTTTTTTTCTTCTTTTTTGAGCTGGTAACTATCACCACTTATTTTTCTGTAAATATCTTTTTAACCGGCTTTGCTTTAGTGGTAGCGACTTCCTCTGCGTGTGCTCTCTGTGAATGTTCTGGAACATGGTATTGCCAGCAAAAACACAATTCCTGATAACTACTGAAATAAAGCACATTTTGAATGACATAAGTATTCATACAGGAAACCTGGTTCCAATAATTAAGCTTAAGAAGTGGAATGTAGTAAGGAGACGGAGATTTCCCTTTATCAGGTGTTCCCTGCATGTCCAACTGAGAGAAAACAAGCAACCAAGCAAAAAATCCCCCCTCCCAATCCCAAGAGAGCTCATATTCTGAATATGGAGTATTCACCATACAATGATGCTCTCGGTCATCCTAAGTGGCGATATACAAAAATATGTTGGTAGCATAAAGCTTCTCCCTCCCCCACTAATCTGAATAACTTCTGCTCAGCTCTAAGAAGAAATCCCAGCTTTGAGACATTTTTAGCACAAATAACCGTTCTTTCTAGTCCCTCTGCATTTATGAGTTTCTTCCAACATTTTTTCAAGCATTTGGCAGAGTTAATAGGTGATCTCAAATACTCTTCCGAGAACTGGAAGTTTAAGCTCCCAGGTAAAGCAGAGCACATATTAAGACTTAAACATTACAAAGACGTACACTTTCAAACGAAGCTGTTTGATACTGGTTGCTCCTTCACTTACCTGCCAAGACCTTAGTTCAGGCCCTTGGTCCTGCTTCCCCTGTTACAGCGTAGGAATGCAGCTCCAGTGCTGCTAAGGTGTTAGGGTGTCATCAACTGCTGCAGGAGAAACAACACATCCTGAACTCTGGGGTTGGCAGGTAAAAAGCCTTTCCGTCTCCTCTGACCTGTTGCTCGTCAGTCTATAGAGGGAGCACCCAGGAAAGCCAATGGGAGTTCCGTATACAGGAGGAGAAAAAGGACCATCCACTTTCTGTCTTGTAATCTTTAAGTCCACACATGTAACTGCTTAGGGTCACCTTGCATCTGGCCGGAGCACAAAGTCGGGGTGAGGGAGAAGCAGGGAAGGCACAAAGCTTCTCTCTCTCCCTCCCTCCCTCCCTCCTTTGCAGTCCGTAGGTAGAGCAGCATTTGTCTTCTCTGCTGGGTGCAGAGAACTGAGTGTCCTTTGGTTCCATGGAAGAGTAACACCATGGAAGGAGGAAACAGCTTGTGTAGGTTGGCAGTGTAACAGGGTGTTCACCCGAGTCCGTCCAAAAGAGAATGAAGCTGCCTGTTTTCTTTCCTCCATCACGTGAGCAGCAGCTAAGCTGTACTGAGATAATTTACTTGTCGGGCAGTAGACATCCAGAGCTTTGGATGCGGAGTCTTACTGGAAGTAGGTGGTGACTCATTTGACAGCAGTTAATCTACACTGCTAATTTAATTTGATGTCTGGGATCAAATACTGTTTGTTTTGCTCATGCAAAATCTCTGCTAAACTTAGGAAAACCAACATGGGCTGATGAAGGTGGAATACAAGTAGTGAGTGGTGAGTAAGAAAGAGAAATAGGAAAACAGACAAGAAAGCCATGTTGACTTCATTGCACTTTTTTATCAGAGGAGTAATGGGTAGGCCCTATGCATTTTGATTTTCTACAAGACATCTCAGTAAAAAGTTCAGGTGGTGGGCCCAGAACCTAGCATGCAGTTTTCTGGTATCTATACCAGAGTGACAATGCGAGGTACACACTTGGCCCTAATTCCTTCACCTCACCATTCATAATTGGAGTTCAGTGGCTGAAGTTAGTCAGAGTTGCAAAACAGGGAAGACTCTAAAGAAAGAAGTGTTATACTTGGTTGGAACAATTTCTCAAGTTTGGGTATTGTATTTAAAACTGTGATAAATTTATAATACATCTTGGCCTAAATTCTGCATTACGTTTCCAGTGACAAACACTAGCACTACATTTCAACTTTTATTTATCTACATCTGTCAAGGCTGGAGTTCCATCAGATACATTACTTGTGATATGTTTTTCCTGTGAAAGAAACCATCATTTTTATGCAGAAGTACACTCAATTCAGAGATGTTCTGTTTTCAGTCAAGGAACTGGTTCCTCTTCACTTAGAAAAAAAATTAAATATTTACACATTTGTGACTGCAAAGCTAATTTGAAAGCAGCCTTTAAATAACTCTGATCACAATAACAGATTGCTACCTTTTACCTCAAAATGACAACACCGCATTGCTATTTTCTATGTTGCTATCTTCAGCTGAAAATACCCTATCTGTTCACATTTCTCTGTGGAATTCAAGCAGTCCTCAGCAGCAAAGGCACCCTGCATACCTGGAGTTGGTGTCCTTGATACATTATTCCATCATGGAAGCTAGCTGATTATGTCAGAAGAATTATGCTGTATAGTGTAAAACTAAACAGAGTAAAAGTAACAGGATAAAGATTAACAAAATGATCTTTCTTAATTAAGGCTTTAAGAAGAGGAAATTGCTGATATGCCTTATCAAAAAGTAGTTAAATGAAAGGGAGGTGTTCTAGAGAGACATCTGATGTAAATTAACATATATGGTGCCATTATTATTTATTAGTTGGAGTACATCCAGCAGATATTTTTAAAATTTAGAGATGTAAATTACTCATGATAAAAGCACAACAAAATACTAATGGCTTAAAAAGAGAGAGTTTGGGGTGTCTAAAGGCAGAGTTTAAGTGGAAAGCACAAGCACTGGTTTGTTTTCTGTTCCTATGGAAGGTTTGTTCTGCTCACTTTTATGCTGATTTTATTGCTCTGGAGAGTATGGTAAAAAGTACTTCAGTAAACCCAAGTGGCCTGAGCTTGATGTATCTTTCAAATATATCTCGGGTTCCTGACTCCTACAGAAACAATAGTTTCTTTAACTACTGCAACAGTATTATTATGAGTAATTTCTGTTTGGAGTGAGTGCATTTCTGTTTTGCAACTTCACAGACTTTATAAGTAAAAATGTTAATGACCAGGGACTACTTGAAGAAATACACAAATTGAACAAATTACCACATATAAGGTTAAACTGGCCCAGGTTTCTAGCTGATGTGTTTTTGGAGGAAGTACTGGGATTCAGAAAACCAATCTTTATTTATTTAGCTACTATTATTTGACCGTTAATATTCATGTTCAGCAATTAAATAATTGTTCTGTTGAGTAATTACTTAGCTAAATCAGTATTGCAGGCCACTGGTGCATGGTAAGGTAAAAAAGCCAAGCTAATTGGATAAAATCATCAAGAGAGTTGGACTAATTTAAGAGCAAAAATCTCACTGACTCTTCCTCCAGGTGTTTCCAGCTGGTAGTTTTAGCCGTTTTGTTTTTTTTTTTAAGTTTTTTTTTTTAAAGTTTTTTTTTTAAAGTTCCTTAGCATCCCTACTGCTGCACTTACCTTCTACTGCCCTTAAGAAACTGAAAATCATTTAGAGCTTGGACCTGATCTTTCATTCTCTGTATATCCAGTGAACAAATAGTCTTTAATTGCTTCCCAAGGGTCAGATTCTCGTGTACCAGTAGCCTAAATCTGGTGAATCAGTGAAATTACTGTTATCACTATGGCAAGAAAACTATGCCATGGTGACAGGTGCTAAGATTGATATTCTGCCCATGCATGGCTAACACCAGTTACTATTCACTCAGGTATTTTCTCAGTTATGTGCATCATATGCAGTACATCATCACAGTATTTTGCAATTATGTCCAGCATTGAAGACAATGTGATGATTAAAGCCTCTTGCCTTAGTGGTGTTTTTTGTGCTGCCATGAAGATAAGGAGTAGAAATCAAACGGCGATACTGTGACCTAGTTGGTAGGCTACTGGGTTGCCATTCAGGAGATCTGTGCTCAATTCCTACTTCTTGGCTGAAGTTTGTAGATGCTAGGCCCTGCAGGGCAATGATTACATTTTAGGCTGAACCTGTGTATGTCACATAGTAGGGCCACGAGCTCTCTAGCCACCGCTGTAACAGAAAAACCTTCCTTATTCCAGCCCAAAGGCCACATGAAGTCAGTTGCACATACATAATCTAAAGGCAGAATTTGGTTTTCAGATGAAAATCAATATTCAGTTAAGATCCTCTGGATAACAGATGTTCTGACATGTTTCTTTCACTGATTTACCCTTTAAGACAGTATATCTCACTGGCACCACTCTTCACCCTACCCTACTCCTAAGAATTTTTATTATCATCAGATCAAGAGACAAAATATTTTTAGGTCATAGGTCCAAAAGCCAAGACGGATTTTTTTGATGCTTAAGTCCAGCTTCCAGTGCAAGCGAGCTACAGGCAGGACTGGCATAACTTAAATAATGGTGATTTAGTAGATGTGGATTAAGTGGAGGCTTTCTTAAAAAAA